TTTCAGCTTGAGTTTTCCAGAAACAATGGTTATTATTATTATTATTATTTTATTATTATTTTTAAAATTTATAAGCCGCCCCACTCCCGAAGGACTCTGGGCGGCTAACAATAAAAAACACATAAAACATAACAAACAACAATACAAAAACAATCATCCAGGGGTCAGGTTTTATAAACCCCAGGCCTGCCGGAAAAGCCAGGTCTTAAGTAGCTTACGGAAGACCAACAGGGTGGGAGCGGTCCTAATCTCCGGGGGGAGCTGATTCCAAAGCGTGGGCACCATCACAGAGAAGGCCCTCCTCCGCGGCCCCGCCAAATGGCACTGCTTGGCTGACGGGGCCCGAAGGAGGCCCAGCCTGTGGGATCTAACCGGACGTAGGGAACTATGAGGTAGTAGGCGGTCTCGCAAATAGCCTGGCCCTGAGCCATATAGGGCTTTAAAGGTAATGACCAACACCTTGAATTGGACCCGGAGACCAATAGGCAACCAGTGCAGCTCACGGAGGATAGGTGTAACGTGGGTGTATCGAGGAGCACCCACTATCACTCGCGCAGCTGCATTCTGGACCAACTGTAGTCTCCGAATACTTTTCAAGGGTAGCCCCATGTAGAGCGCATTGCAGTAGTCCAATAGTTGACTTTCTATTGCCTGCTGCAAGGGGAAAAGGCCTATGCCACATTATTAGCCCAATCCAGCAAGTGCTTCTTTTCAGTCTGTGTCCCTTGAACGTCTGTTTTTGGCAAGCCTCTCATTAATCTGAAACTGAAAATCATTGGACAGTATTTCAGAGAGGCAGACGGAGGTAAAAGCGAGAGAATCTGCAGGCAGTCCTCGGTTTATAACCGTTCGTTTAGCGACGGTTTGAAGTTAAAACGGCACTGAAGAAAGTGCCTTACAACCGATCCTCACACTTAGGACCACTCTGGCACCCCAATGCTTAGGTGATCAAAATTTGGGCACGTGGCGACTGGCGTGTATTTTCAACAACTGCGGTCTCCCAGAGTCACGTGATCCCCATTTGCAACCTCCCCACAAGCAGAGTCAAGACCGCGCCGGAGAGCTCGGTCCTGTCCCTTTTTTTAGCCTTTTGCAACTTAACGCAGGGGTTGAGCCCAATCAATCCTTAAATGATTTATAGCCCAGTGAAGGGTGCAGAAGCAGAAAATGGATTAATTCATTAACCAGATTTAGGGGGGGGAGGGAGTGTCTACAGGGTGCGGTCAAAAATGCCCTATACTGCCCATTGTATAATACAGACAGAATTAAACTATTGCCTCTCCTTGGAATGGATCCCTCTGGTTCTAATGTTAGTAATTTGGTCTTATATTGTCTAGGGGATGGCTCCTCCTATATTACTTCTCAGGTTTCTAAATTTCTTTTAAGAGCTGTAACTATTAGAGAACGTTGTAATTCCCCTTAGCCAAGGCTTCTGGTGTTAACTGTTTGTGATTGTATTTTTCTTGTGTTTTCTTTTGTTGCACTTGTATTTTGGTCTGTGACTGCAAAATAAAATTATTATATTATATTATATAATAATGTCAAGAGAGGGGTTATGTAATGCAATCAAAATTCCACCTATTTTTTTTACATGTAACACACATGGAGGAGGGGAGGAGGAGGTGGAGCAGGAGGAGGAGGGGGAGGAGGAAGAGAAGGAGAAGGAGAAGAAGAGAAGAAGAAGGAGAAAGAAAAAGAGAAGGAGAAGAAAAGAAGGAGAAAAAAGAGAAGAAAGGAAGGAGGAGGAGAGGAGAAGGAGAAAGAAGGAGAAGAAGAGGAAGAAGAGGAGGAGAAAAGGATGAGGAGGAGAAGAAGAAAAAATGAGAAAGAGAAAGGAGGAGGAGGAGAAGAAAAGGAGGAGGAGGAAGAGGAGGAGAAGAAAAGAAGAATGAGAAAAAGAAAGAGAAGGAGAAGAAAAGAAGGAGGAGGAAGAGAAGGAGAAGAAGAAGAAGGAGGAGGAGGAGGAGGAGGAGGAGGAGGAGGAGAAGGAGAAGGAGGAGGAGGAGGAGGAGGAGGGGAGGAGGAGAAGAGGAGGAGGAGAAGGGAGGAGAAGAAGGAGGAGGAGGAGAAGGAGAAGAAGAAGAAGAAGAAGAAGAAGAAGAAGAAGAAGAAGAAGAAGAAGAAGAAGAAGAAGAAGAAGAAGAAGAAGAAGGAGAAGGAGGAGGAGGAGGGGAGGAGGAGAAGAGGAGGAGGAGAAGGAGAAGAAGAAGAAGAAGAAGAGGAGGAGGAGGAGGAGGAGGAGGAGAGGGAGGAGGAGAAGAGGAGGAGGAGAAGGGAGGAGAAGAAGGAGGAGGAGGAGAAGGAGAAGAAGAAGAAGAAGAGGAGGAGGAGGAGGAGGAGGAGGAGAGGGAGGAGGAGGGGGGGGAGGGTGGTCTGATGGGCCGGCACAAAGAGAGGGCAATTTTAATAGCTGCTTTTCTTGCCTGGGACCCTCCTTGCTTCATAGACAGAAGGAACAGGCCTGAAAGAGACGTCTTGCAAAAATGCACCCCCAGACACCCCCCCTCCCTATGGATGATTGTACAGCTGCCTGCTCCTTCCGTCCACTTCGGTTAATGCTGAACATCTTAAAATTAACAGGTTTTGGCCCTTTGCCCACCTCCTTGCTGCAGGGTGGAGCAGAAAAAGGAGCAGAGGCAGCCTCAAGAATTCAGAAGTGGTGCCAAAGCCAAAGAAATAAGGAAAAATAAAATAAAATAAAACAAAACAGGAGACAGGGATGAATGGAGGAGAAAGAGAAACACAAAATAATGTCTGACTCTGAGATAAATGGATTCAACCTTAACCAACCAATTCCTGGTTCCCCCTCTCCCCCATCTGCAGAAACACACACACACACACACACACACACACACACACACACAACCTCTGGTTTTGTTCCAACTTGCCTGACTTGATCAAAGCAATTAAAGGGAAGAGTTCCTTTCAGGCTGAAGGGAGGCGACCCCCAAATTGTATTTATTTTCAGGGAGCAACCAGCAAGTTGAGAGTTCCTCTGCATTCAAGTAGCTGCCCATGAAAAACAGGATTTTCCCACCCCCCCAAGGGAAGAGAGAGAGAGGTGTTAGCTGGGTGTGCACATCACACAAAGGGCACTTCTAGGCAGCTCAGAGTACCAAAGGTGGTAGATATGCTACTGTCCTGGTCTTGAAAAAGTTGCATGATTGTGCAACAGAGCCTCCACGTTTAAAGGCAGTATATCAGGGTACATTAGCTACTGAGGGGAGGGGGAAAAGAGGAAGGGGGCAAACATCATCATTATGCCCTGCCTTCTGAGATTCTCATAAATGCTCCTTGGGTGTTTCTGGATGTTTCATCGGAAAGGGGCCTGGCACATTCCAGAACCAGAGGGGGCAGGCTGCTTGACCAATGTGACGGCAGAGAAACCGAAACAGAGGAGAGCTTTGTCTTCCTGGTGCCACAAAAATGAGGAAGCTCTGAGGAGTAAACTTCCTCTGGTTTTCAAACACCAGCAAGAAGAACGGCTTGAAAGGGTTGTGGCCAAACCCTCCAAAAAAAGAAGAGGTGTCCCAAGTGTGTGTTAAGATAGTCCTGGCTGAAACATGGTCCATAGATCCCTTGACCTCTAAAGAGGGAGAATAGAATAGAATAGAATAGAATAGAATAGAATAGAATAGAATAGAATAGAATAGAATAGAATGTAGAACGGAGGAGAAGAGAAGAGAATATAGAATAGAACAGAGTAGAATAGAATAGAATAGAATAGAATAGAATAGAATAGAATAGAATAGAATATAGAACAGAGGAGAAGAGAATATAGAATGGAATAGAATAGAATAGAATAGAATAGAATTAATGGAATGGCATGGAATGGCATGGAATAGAATAGAATAGAATAGAATAGAATAGAACAGAATAACAAATGGAACGGAACGGAACAGAAGAGAAGAGAGGAGAGGAGAGAGAAATAGGGTAGAATAGAAGAGAAGAGAAATACAGTAGAGTAGAGTAGAGTAGAGTAGAGTAGAGTAGAGTAGAGTAGAGTAGAGTAGAGTAGAGTAGAAGAGAAGAGAAGAGAAGAGAAGAGAAGAGAAGAGAAGAGAAGAGAAGAGAAGAGAAGAGAAGAGAAGAGAAGAGAAGAGAAGAGAAGAGAGAATTTTATTTGGCCATGTGTGATTAGACAGATAAGGTAACACAAGGGGAGAAGCAGCTTAGACTGATGCCTGATCTCTTGGATTTTCTGTACCCTGGTTGGATTTGTAAAACATATTAGTTTGGGGCAAAGTGTGGTTGGGTGGTTGTGGGAACCTTAGCTGTGAATTCATCTGATGTACACTCCTTTGGGGATGAATTTCTTTAGATGAACGCAGCCATTCTGTTAAGCTATGTTTTGTGAAATCCAATCTGGGTCGGTCACCGGCCCCCAAAGGTTTTGTCTTCTGAGCTTTCAAAGTCAGGACCCCATCCTCAGTGGAACTTCTCTCTAGCAGTGTGTGCTGTTCTGTGTGTGGCATTTATATGGTGCCCGTTGTATGTGGCTTTTAAAATATGGATTGGGGTATGTTGATGGCTGGCTATTAAGTCATTGGCTGCTATTAGCTTGTACTTCCCCACAACAGCCAATGACTTAATAACCAGCCATCAACACACCCCAATCAACATCTAAAAAGCCACATACAACAGGCACCATATAAATGCCACACAGAACAGTACACATTCTGCTAAAAAGAAGTTTCCGAGGATAGGCTCCAGCATGCATCAGAACGCTTGGAAGACTAAACCTCTCATCCTGGTGACTGGCCAAGATTGGATCCTACAACATTAACCTGGGACACATATATTCGCCTTCATTATGGTCTGTGAGTTGTAGGAATCCAGCCTCACAAGAGTTAGATTCATACATGACAGTTAGCCATCCTGCAGTTTGATTAAGATTAGCTTAATGAGTTGCGTAGCCTCACCATTCTAGGTGCGTAAAAGGTGATTTGAACAGACCCGTGTTTTATTTCAAAGGGCATCTAGGGCACAGATTGACTAACCTTCTTTGGGTGAGTTCTTCTCTGCAGATTCTTCTTTCTTCTCGAAGATCTCCAGAGGCTGGTCCCCAGACTCTTCCAATGGGCCAAACGTCGGCTCTGGATCTGAAGCCTTGGAAGCACCTTGGCAGGAGACGGAGTCAATCAGAGCAGGGCAGTTTTCTCTTGGATTGGGCAAAGCTGGGCTACCTTGTGGAGGTGGCACTGTCATTGGATAACCAAGAAAAGAGGACTGAGAAGTAGCTTGAGTAGTTGGAGATTGAGAGACAAGCTGGAAAGAGGCAGACTGGGGACAAGGAGCTGTTCTCTCTGTTTCTGATATCTCTGGAAGGCTTCCATAAGAGGTTGTTAAGGAAGTATCATGGGTTATGATCATTTGATCTTTGTTGATCAGTTCTGGAGATGGAGGAGACAGGCTGTGGCCAAGGCTGATCTGAAGCTGGGCCTTAGGCAAAGATTTGGGCCCAGGATCAGCCACAGAAGGGAGAACACAACCAACTGGGGGGTTTCCAATTAACCTGTCCAGGCTGGTGGGAAATGTTTGAAGCTTTGAAGTTTGCCTAGAGGCCAAAGAAGTTGTAGAAGTCACGTTCGCCAACTGGCCAACCTCCATGGTAGAGAAAGGAGAATCCTTTCTCAGTAACGTTCCATTCTTTGGAAGAGGCGACATGGGATTTTGGTCTTGGGAGCTCCACCTATTGGTGGGGTCAACGTTTGAGGTGGAGCAAAGGGTAGGACTGGGGCCCTGGTCTTCTGCGATATGCAAGTCAAGGGATGGCAAGGAGCTGTGATTCACGGTGGGCTTGGAGACCTGCCGGATGGGACGCTCCACCTCGGGATGAAAGACATTCCCATGGGAAGAGAACTTCTTCTGCAAAGGACTAGATAGCTGAGACATCTCGATTCCAGAGGACTCAGATTGCCGAGTGGGATTCGGAGGGCATCTTGTGGGAGTTGGGCAACCCAAACTGGAAGAAGAACTGTGAAGACTCTCATCACTTCCTGGCCCTAAAGATGAAGAGAATCCATTGGGATTCAGCCGAGTTTGGAAGGAGGACACCCTGATGAGGTTGGTCCCATTGGCCCGAGGCAAATGAATGGTGCCTCGGTTGAAAGACAAGCTGTTAGTGATCCTGGCTTTGGGGATCGGACTGTGTGAAGGACTGGGGATGTTGCTCAGGCCGATGGGAGATTGGTAGATATTCTGCATGGGTCCCCTGTTTCTTTTCCCCTCTCCATTTTCAGATGGGCAGGGGTTTAGAGAAGGTCTGGTTGAACATGAAGTGACCTCTTCCACATCTTCCATCTCAAAGGACCTCTTTAAGGCTGCAGAAGAAAGCAAGAAAGAACACAAAAATTGTCCATTAGCCCAACAGGGCTCAAATATTTTGCCTTCATTGTACAGATCCCTTAGAAAATTGTAGGGCTGTTAAGCAAATCAGTTCTCTAGCTTGATCTCTACTCTATCAATCAAAGGCTATTTCTGTACTTATATTTTAATGGCCTTTACTGTTTCAGCATTATATTCTCTGGTTTTTCTTCAGCTCCTATAAATCTTTCACATTTTATCAAAGGTTTCTGTGAAGAGACACAGTTATGTGTTTGTAACTAATTTTCTGAGGATCTCCCTCGCTTCCCATTTATTAGTTAGAGTTGTGTATTTATCTTTTTTAATATTTAGTTAAATATTAACTAGGGTCCCCTATTGTATAGTTTTTTCTAAAAATTTATCTTTATTAAACTCTGGAAACCGCCCAGAGTTACTTTGTGGTAAGATAGGTGTTCAAGAAATTTAACAAATAAGTAATAACAATACTAACAACAACAATAATGGATAGTGAATAACAGAAGAGAAAGAACTGGAGAAGATAACAAAATACAAAGACCTACAAATAGAAATAGAAAGATTGTGGCAAAAGCAAGCAAGGGTAGTACCAATAATAATAGGCGCCTTGGGTGCAATCCCAAACCAACTGGAGCACCACTTGAACACCATTGGCACTGACACATTCGGCATTAGTCAATTGCAAAAGGCAGCATTACTGGGAACAGCTTCCATCCTGCGGCGATATCTGTAATACCATCAATTCAAACATCCAGATCTGCCTATCCCAGGTCCTTGGTAAGGACTCAATAGGTAGACAAAAATGCCAAATCCAGTCTGAACATCTGGCTGTGTGATGATTAGTCGTCATCATCATCCATGGTCAATCACCTCTGATGATAGGCTGTTGAGTTGGTTTCCTTTAGGAGGTGCATTTTCAGGGAAAAGATGGGAGGCTGCCTCAGCATCGGATTATGACAATGTGTACAGGCAGTCCTCCAGTTACGGCCACAACTAGGCCCACAATTACAGTCATACATGACCGTCATGACATGGCAGTTTTCCAATTCCATGATTGGATCCGATTTTATGACCAATTCCCCAATTTTATTTGAAAACTAAAGAACCCTTTAGAAATGAAACAGAGTTTAATGAAGCAGAGAGTTCCGTGGGCACCAAGGGAAGGCGCCCCAATCTTCAAGTTGCCTATTTCAGCCAAAAGGTTTGCCACCCGGGGTCAGATGGGATTTACAGATGGTTCTTCAAAGCCCCGGGCTCTGCAAAATAGTGCTACCTGTGAAACACGATGCTCTCCTTCAGTGAGATGGTTTGGGGAAACTTTGATGTGGGGTCGTGGTGGGAATCCTGTTGCCTGCTAGAGATGAGATTGTATCTCCTAAACAAACAGACGATTGGAGACAGGAGAGCTACATTTCAAAGGTTGCTGCCTGTCTTCTCCAGCTGGTGGAAGGAGCCAAGAGAAGAATGCTATATTCATTTTCTTATTTCTAGTTTACAAAACATTTGACTGCTATCCTGCCTTGGCTGAACTTTGCTCTGGATTTTGCAGGAATTTCCCATATAAGGACACAGCTTCAGTCAGGACTACAAAATGTGATGTTCTCCAGAAGTTTTGGACACCTCTTTATATATATATATATATATATATATATATATATATATATATATATATATATATATATATATATATATATATATATATATATATATATATATATATATATATATATATATATATATATATCTCCCAGTAGGTATTTCTAAAATGGCAGGGTATAGAGGCGATACGCATGAGGTAAAAAGTAAATACTGGCTGTTCTGAATTAATTTAACCAGAGACTGGCCTACAACTGCAGAAGTGAGGGGATGACCTGCAGGTATTCATGAAAACTTGCTTATATTTCAAGCAGACCAATTATCCATGGGACGGGAGTAGGAAGAGGAAGAGAAAAGCAAAGGGGTTGCTTGCAGCAAATGGCACTACACCCCCCCCCCCCAACAGCATTCAAAACAAGTCAGTTAGGTGACAAAGAAGAATGTGACACCATTCCCCCGAGGGCCTGGGCAATCTCGTGCAAGTCTATTTTGATCCTTGGCTAAGGTTTTTTTGGTGGCGCAACCAAAAAGGACTTCCCTGTGTTACTGGTCCATAAGCACAACCAATCTTAACACATGGAAAACTGAGTCCACAAGATAAGAGTTGTTGACCTATTCTCCAAAGCTCTTGAGGGCAAGACAAGAAGTAATGGATGGACGCTTGTTAAAGACTAATCCAACCTAGAATTAAGGAGAACAATTCATCAGTGGAATGGTTTATCTCCAGAAATTGTGGGTGTTCCATCCAGTGTTCCATCACTAGAGATTTTCAAGAAGAGATTGGAATTGTCTGGAGTGGTATAGGGTCTCCTGCTTGAGCAGGAGGTTGGACTAGAAGACCTCCAAGGTTGTTTCCAACTCTGTTATTCTGTATCATTAATAGGGTGGCTAAAAGCCATGGGTTGGCTGCAGAGATCTTCCAAAGTCCTTCTAAACTAGGGGTCTTCAAACTTGGCCCTTTTATGACTTGTGGACTTCAACTCCCAGAATTCCTCAGCCAGCATGCTTGGCTGAGGAGTTCTGGGAGTTGAAGTCCACAAAAGGGCCAAGTTTGAAGACCCCTATTATAAATGGTCATTTCTCATATGACACAAAGAGAAAATGACTAAGTGCTTGATTGGAGAATGACTATATATCCCCTCTCTATTTGATTTTAATTCAACGTAAATGAAAAGAAATATAGCTTTCATCCTGGTCTTATCCACTGTTTTGGAGTCTGTGGCCCCTAGCATTTCTCTCACAACCCAAGAATAGCTTATGGTTGAGAAAAAGTTGCCTGTCGCATCTTTTCATCCAGACCATTCCCAAGTAGTCCCTGGTTTGCTTGCCAGTAAATAGGTAGTCACTGAATTCAGTTTTCAAATCCTGTGAATCAGGAATAGTCATAGGTCTTATGTCCCACAATATAGTTGGTGGTGAGCTAACTTCCCAACTTGGTTAAAGAGTTGTGTGCAACTAGAAAAAAATATTTGCAGCTCAGGGTTGAACTGTGGGGTCCTGGGTGCTCTCTGAGCTTGGTTGTTTTCTTGCAGGTGTTTCATTACCAAACTAGACAACCTCATCAGTGCTAAAAAGAACTAGGATGGTGGCGCATGAGTTGTCACTATAATTCAATACTGCGTGGACCAGAAGTGGTCAGGAGAGTTAGGAACAAGGCTGGTCTTGCCTGCCACACATGCAAACTCAAATTCCTTCTTCAACAAAGTGCATGTTGCAATGTCCATCAAGAAATTGAAGCTGGGCAGTTGGAAAGAGATTCTCAAATTGCTAGCAAAACAGCAAGAAAGAAAGACAGACAGACAGAAGGTGTGATGCAAAGGTTTGATAATCCCATCTCTCTGTAAACACCAAGGCATTGTTCCTAAGTTTACAGGAAGATTTATTTCCGAGGGGGAACCTGTAAATTCTCAGGTTTACTCACAAAGTGAGGCCAGCCAATTGCCAAGCCCTTTCCTATTATCTATTCCTTCAGCCTTTCAAACAATGAAGTCCTCTAAATTCAATTACTTGACCTGACCTTCCATTTAATCAAACCGGAGAGTCAAAGGCTAAGATGTTAATTACTTGGTCCCTCTGATTTTTAACTAGATCAGGGGAGAGACTTAATACAATCAACTCCCTAAAGGGTCCTGATTTACATGTTTGCACTTAATATTATCTGCTGGCCTCTGGTTTAAGAAAAAAAGACTTTAATGCAATCCGTGGCTCCGGGCTCTTTTTCGTATTTCATGGATGTTCTATGACCATTAAGAAATCAGACGTCCTTGTGAAAATATGGCTCACAAATGATAAAAGCCAACTGGCTGAGGAATTCTGGGAGTTGAAGTCCACAAGTTGCCAAGGTTGAGGACCCCTGCTCTAAAGGATGACACTGGGATGGCCAGGGCAGATCTGAAGGATGCAGTGGGAGGGGCATGGAGAGTGCTGATCCATACAGTGGCCAAGGGTTGGACGTGAATGAATGGCTGATGATGATGACCAAATCAATTTGAGAGTTCTAGCAAGTAAATCCTGTAAGGTCCATTCTAGGACATTTTGCTTCGCTCTTGCTCAACGCAAGAGCCAGCCCTAAGTCTTAGGTATGGTAGCAGCTCAACAGCTGGAAGGAAGCTAAGCAAAGCCAGCTTCAGTTCATTTATTTGCTTGACCCCTTGCCCTCCAGCTGTTTCCTTCAGCACCTGCTTGAACTCAAGTGTCCATCACAAAGGAGAACCTTTCCCACCTCCCTGAGGGTGAGAAGGAGCCCTTTGCCCCAGCTGCCCTCCACCTCCTCTCCCCCAACACCTCCAGCAGTTGACCCCTGAACCAAATGGAGAAAATGACAGCAAACACTCCGTCACTGTCACTGGGGAATCAAAAGGCTGGCTGGAGGGACTCCAAACATCCGTGCAGCTGGAGGCCTCCTCATGCTAGAGCTGACCCAGGGAGAGAGGTTAGTCAGATGATCAACAACTGAGCTGAGAACCAAAGATATGGATCTGATGCTGCCCTCCATGCCCCAAACCCTGGGCTTTCAGTCCTGTGCTAGAGAGTTTTAGCAGAGGAAAATAGGTAAGAAGGAAAGGAGAGCTCAATTGTCTATGGAGATTCTCAATCATCCAGGTTGGTTTGGAAAAGCACAGGAGCTTTTTCCAAAAGGCAGCTGGACTTTCTTGGTTTGATGAACTGAAGAAGCTTCTTGGATGAGAAGAGAAACGTTGTCAAGGAAAAAAAAAACCCAAGAAATCCAGTTGCCTTTTGGAAAAAGTTCCTTTGAGAGAATCCAAAGGGCTAATGGCTAGAAACAGGGAGATCCTAAATTCCAGTTGTGCCCTAGGCACAAAAATCAGCTGGGGGACTTGGCATCAGCCCCTCAGTCTTGGGAGAAAGAAGATAAGGGCCAATCTTTTCTAAAAATCTTGCCAAGAAAACTGCAGGGACTTGTCGAGAATTATTGGGAGGCACACAAGCACAATCTCAACTTCAGGTGTACTAATAGCCGATTAAAAAGGCAGAATAGTTGGCCTGGAATTTGAGTTGCCAGAATGCACTCCAGTTTCCATCAGTAAAAAATTATGTTGGTCCATCATTCATTTTAATCCTCATGGTGAATCACATTTCAGACTCACTTGGGGCATTATCTGAGCACCTAAGAGCGAGTCGATTTGAGGAAATCTCCTTCTCAATCTCCAATCCAGCAGGCTTTAGCCCACCCCT